AAGGCAAGACCGATCATTGATCCGGCCCACTAAGACGCATGCATATATATATATATATATATATATATATATATGATAATATATGGACAAATTTTTTCCATTTCTTCAAACATAACTTTTTGAAACAATGCGAAGATTATGCTTTTAATTATTCTTGTTTTCTCATTATTATTATTATTTTTCTCATACCAAACAAAAATTTTGCAAAAGAAAAAACTAATACGAACATATTTCGTATATATTTATATATATTTATATATATTTATATATGTTCTTGAATAAAAATTTTTTTGCTGGAATGTGGATACGAAAGCTCAAGTAGGATAAGCTAAAGAAATGAATTTGAATGAAATAAATAAATAATTAAATTAAAATGTATTATCTTTATTAGACTCACCGTAACGGTTATAATTTAGTTTAAATCGTATATTATGTGCATTTTGTATATTTAAAATATTTTATATATATAAAAAAATTTTACCTTATAAAAACTATCTTGATATTTTAATTTTCGAAATATTCAAATGTATTGATTAAAATGGAATATCCTGTATATTAAATATATTATCTTCTTTGTAATAAGAATTCAAAAAGAGCCAGTAAAGAAAATTAAAAATTTTTACTTTTTAATTTTAGATGGCGGAGTTAGTTTAGATAAAATAAGTAGCTAAATAAATATTAATAAATATTATTATCTTTATTAAACTTGTTTACTAATTAAGTAATATATTAAATATATGGGAGCATCCCAGATGCGCACATTTTCAATCGGACACACCACTCACATCATGCCTAGGAATTTTCTAATGAATTTTCACCTATCAAAAATTTTTTTATTTAATCGACCAATCGGCAATGTGTCCGATTGGATCTCACCCAAATATGTTTGTAAAATGAACGGTAAAAGTGGATAAAATTTTATAAATATCTGCTTTGTGCGGTCAAGTCCAAGTGAGGTGATGGAAAAGGATAAGAATTCTTAGGTGATGTTGGTCCAGGAAAGGGCGTTTAAAGGAGTTAATCAAGTCCATGAAGGGAAAAACTGAAGTGATTTATCTGAAGATAAGAAAATATTTAATTTACAGCTCTGAGAAGCGAAATTAGCTTCGAAGAGCGCACCAGTTCCGAAGAACGTACCAGTTCCGAAAAACGTATTGGCTCCGAAGAGCGCATCAGAATATTACTATCACTAGCAGAATAATAATTTTCCGTAGAAAATCCGTCTCAATTACGAACTTCATAGAATGGCTTTAGATAATAAAAAAAAAAAAAACGATAAGCAATAGAACAACTTATCGAATACATAAAACAAATCGTCGTCGACTTACAAATTTTAAGAACACGTCTGAAATGTTTCGTAACTATAAACAGAATGAATGTCGAGAAGGAGTAAATAAAATAAAATGTGTTGCAAATAATATCTACGTAACGCAAAGACAAGCGCGCTTCTCCATTTTCTAATTACTTGAGAGATTCGTATTGCCAGTGACCGTATTAATTTTGACCAACGCTAAAGAATTGTCCTTGATTCTTTAACATATTATATTGTCCTTTTTACAATATGAATTCAAAAAGAAGATGTTAAAAACAATACAAGTTAAAAATTAAAAATTTCTGATTATATTAAGAGATAATTGGAAATACGAATAGTACTCTTCTTTTTACGATCGTGATACGTCATTGAGGTTTCTTCTGATACGCATGTGCGAAAAATGATAGATTTATTAACACTGCGCGCGCGTCGCGCGTATCCACAGATGCGGAGATATGTACGGAGATGCGAATATTTGTCGAGAGTGATGTGTTATTGAAAGGCGAGAGTGCCGATAATACGCCGGATATAATAAATATATGTACCTTGTGAGATTCATCGAACTTATTAAGGCCTAATCGAGCAAACGTGTGCAAATCATGAGCCGGTACGCAGCATTACTGGTGCTCGAAGCATTGATACTTCAATTAGGAATCTCCGTCGAAAAACCTGCGCCACATGTCGGTAAGAATCGATCTTTCATTTTATGGTCTCTTTGATGCTGACGAATATTTTGAAGCAGTTTTCTGATCAGTCGGTAGGGATTTTTATTCTGATAAGTAACTTGAATGTTTCAAAGTATGTCTCATTTGAATTGTTGAAGTGGACATGATTCGTTCTTCCATAATTTCTGTTCTGCTTCTATTTGCGATTTATCGCCCTTTATTGCTTTTGTGTCACTTATTTGTCATTTTTGCTTTATATTTTTATTTTGCCTTATATTTATATTTTATTTAACTTTGCTGATATAACCTTTGTCTACTCTGACAAGGGGAAGGCGCGGACTTGGGATCATTGATTTTGAAAAGGCTTATATATGTTAAAGGACTCTACTAGAGTTGCGTTCGGGGAGT